AAATCAGATTCTCTTTTAGCTGCGGCAAATGATCAATGATCAGCTCCAAGGTGCGAGCGGTGGTACGCTGTAATTGATGTGGCACCACGCTGGTTATTGTCGTACATTTTCCCGTTTTGTAGCTAACCCAGTATAATGGATCATTGGCGTCATCCTGACAATTTGAGCGTGGGCTGCACTTATTTTCCAGCGAGCACCATCCACAGTATGGATCTTTAGCACCCAGACATTCGCCACAAGTCCTAAAGTCAGCACAATCATACACCTTCACTTTGGATACCTTACGCTCGGACATAGCGTAAACATAAAGGTTTTGGTTATCGAACTGCATGTCCTGATTAATGGGCGAACCCAAATCAACGGCCAAACTTGCATATTCATTTGCAACGGTCGCCGATTCAACGACTACTTTCTTAATATACCCGTCGACTGTTCCAATAAACACGACCGTATACCCGCTGGTGCTGGTCGCAGCCACAGATGTGAGCCTCGTGTTAAACATTGCTACTGGGACAGCTGTGATTGGTTGCTCCCCTCCTAGAGGTGAATTAACATCCAGTCCGCAAAAGTCTTCGCCAATGGTTTGTAGTTTCTGCAATCAGATACATTATTTAAATTTACTTTTTATTTTTTTTTAAGGTTTTTTAATACAATCAACTTATTACAGAACTTTGGCCAAACCAACTGCCCCACAAACCGCAGAACCTAAACCCATTTCTTTTTCAAAAATGAATTGGCTTAAAATTAAAAAGTGTTGACCCTTTAAGAGTCAGCCCACAGTAAAAACAACTTGGGCCCCAACCATTGGATTTATCTTCGCATATTCGTTAGATGCCAATTTTCGATACAGACCAAACTACGGCTTTGAATATTTTCAGTCGAACTCTCATTTTCATAAACCTTTTTGAAAATATTTGACAAGCAGAGGTTATGGGTAGTTTGTTTGAGCCGTGAACCGAAAAACCAACCTCTGTGGGTTGTTAGCCCTGATTTGCAACAATGGCCTGATCTACATCTTATCTGTTCCTCGTTTTGGTATATCCACCCATTTCCCACCCGTGGAATATTTAACTTTACCGAAAATATCTCCAAGCTCTCGACTCAGGTATATTTTACAATCATATGAGAAAATTAGTCTGACTATTACTCATTTAGTACCACCATTTTCTGCCTATTTTCCACAGTTGCGGGTGAAATTTCCAAACTGGCAGAGGTTTGAAAACAAGTTTTAAGCCGATCGGACGAAACTTAAAACGACGCAAATTTATCACTCGGGAAGGGTGAATTTCACGAAAAAATTAAACGCGTCTTAAATGAATTTTCATAATGATCTTTGTCAATTAACTAACATCCGAAACTTCGCCCATTTAAACTTTGAGAGGTGAATTTCAACGAAATGAATTTTCCGACAGATCTTTGAAAATGGATTTGAAGCCAATCGGATGGTTATTAAGAGATTCATAAGACCGTTTCCCACGATTTTTCCACACTTGGGTGTGGAATTCCCCAAATTCCTTATATACATACCGTTAAAACACAAGGCATGCTGGGTGATATAAAGTCGAGTCCGCGCATTCCATTTCCATTGAAGCAGAATTTGATGTTCTGCATAAATTTGCGACGAATTGACTTCAATGAGTATATGCAAAGCGCCGAGTTGTTGGTTGGGGTATTGCTTTCACCCTTTGAAAAGACAGCAAAGAGGACGTCATCTTGTATCGAGATACCCAAGCTTTGCGCCAAATCCGAACTAGGTTTGCCCAAGAATCCGGCCTGAACCAAATTGAATTTAATTCCGCCCTGAGCCTCACTAATGCACTCCACCGGAATTTCAGTGTAAGAGTAATAGTTAGAGTCCTCTTGGCAAATTCTGACCAGCTTCGTTATATACTCCTTGGGCGACGAGTGATGACTATGCTTCAACTGGGTAGTTAGGAAATATGAAAACCGTTCTGAGCTAAACCCGTACACATAGTTCACCAAATATGTTTCACGGGCATACGAATTTATAAAGGTGCGCGTGCCAGTCGTAACAGCCGATGATGCTATCTGAAACATTTTAGTTTTTTCTAGAGATCGGGACGCTACGGCAGGGATCTCGCTACGGTACGGCGAGTTGTTGGTATAGGTAACGCCGACGTACATAACGTTCGTCACTGGATGTTGGGGGGGACCAGGCGCAATAAAGGCAACCGTTGAGGAGTTGGCATCATTCGCAACAACGGCGTCCGGCACCTCGTGTTCAACTATGCTTACATTTTGCAGATTACGGACCGTACAGGTGCCCTGGAACAACGATCCACAGGCAATTAACCGAGATGTGGCGCGATCTATAAGAAGCACCTTATTATAGTTATCTGTTGGCTTGCGCACGGCATTAAGCGGACAGTCAAGTATAGTGCACTCGACTGAATCATTCTGTGGTCCTGTCTTCACGGTTTCGTGCAGCTCTAGGTCTGGCGATAGCTGGTACAATCGATTCACACCGCCAACAAACACTCTTCCTGTAACTGTGTCCACAAGCAGATGGTTGAGTCTTGTGTCAAATTTGGCTACATTTGTTATTATATTGGTGCTTAAGTTGCCAGCATTACGGGCAAGCACATTTAGGTCCGTTTCCGTTATATTAACCTTAAGGACATCCGTACTTCGTCCAATTCTATCAGCTCGAACGGCCAATACAGACGGCTCATTCGCAAATCCAGAGATTCCATTAAGATTCTCATTACGATGTTTATATAGGTGCAATATTTGTCCGTGGGCTGAACGTGATGGTAGATTTCCCAAAATTGTAATTGATAGTAAACAGAGTATAATATTCATTTCCACAGTCACTGGCTAATCGCCGCAATGGCGATCAGATCGAAATATGAATAATCCTTTGCTAAGGATTCGCAATTCTCTATTAGATTCCAGATATTTTCAGCTATTTTTCTTTTAATCAAAACAAAAATAACGTTGCAGCGAGTGCGTATAAATGTCTTGCAAGCAGCCGCAGTAAATGCTACTTTTCAAACACCGGATTCTATTTTATCCATATTCATTTGATCTATAGATATTAAATCTACAACTTGTGTCGACTCCCAGTTACTGCTACATTATAAATTGCTCAGCACCTACATAAGAAAGTATATAATAAAGTACATAAATTAGTGAGGATAAAGGAAAATATTCCAAGAGAATACTTAAAATCTCTTATCTTAATTATACATAATATAAAACATATTATAAAATAACATAAGACCACAAAATTACATTTGTTCTTACTCTGCGAAATCAGTTGAATGCACTTTAAGTGACCGACTAGCAAATACCCTGCACCTGTACATGAAAAACGCACTTAATCATTGGATCTAAATCTTTATTGCTCGAAATTTGAACGGTATAAATATAGCATCCATCTATGCATTCATGCACGGACAGACGGACATGGATCAATTCAGTTTGTTGTCCTGAGTAAGAATATATGTATATTCTGAATGTTGTCGGAGATGCTTCTTTCTGTCTGTCACATACATTAACACAAAACTATTATACCCATTTCTACCCTTTTCATTAGGTTCGGGGTGAAAAAACGAGAAATCAACAATTTTTATCATTACTAGTTGCTTTGTTAATTGTAAGTTTTTGTTTTCCTTATTTCTGACTGCTTGACAATGTAGTTCTCGTTTGGCAAATTTTGTGATTTTCTTAATGTGCTTCTCTGATTATATTACACAGTACGAACGAGTACATATGTATGTTAGATATACATATATTTATATCCGGGCTTCGGAGTAATTTTCTTATACATATGTATGTATGTATGTGTATACATATGTTGATACATGCACCGTCTGCAGTGAAAAGTATTCCTGGCTATCAGTTCATTTTCATTCAAACATATACAAATGTGTACTGACATATGTATCTGTAGAACTGATTGGAAATTATGTGACTATATGTACATATGGATACATATGTCCATTAAATATATGTAAAACATAACCAACACAATCACTGAACTTAACACATCCACAAGCTGGAACTTATTTTGAATGACTCAGAGTCAGAGTTGGTTAGCTACATATTTCGAAAAATTCGACTCGATCAAACACCGATTTTTCATGATTTCGTAAGCATCGGTAATATTTTGTGTGCATTCAGGATCATGTCGGTTCAAAAGTTTGATAGCGTATACCAGGCCCACGCCCACCGCTCATAAAAGGCGTTATATGTGTTAATGGAGCTAATTAAATGTATCAACAGTTTGGGGAAATATGCTTTAAGTTTTGACAATGTCGGTTCATTACACTGGCTTGTTAATTATCGTACGGAATCGTTATTCTATTGTTTCGAATAAACATAGTAATGTACATCTGACCGATGTACACACATAGTGTATGTATGTGCTCATACATGCGCACTTTTCATTTGCAGTGGATTTTTTCTTTTTTTTTTCAATAAAAAATACCCACTTACACTTGTAATAACGTCTTATGTTCATATTGTAAGAGATATATACAGCAAAGTCGCAAGCATACGCACAAAGCTGTAATTCTAAAAATACTTATTTCTGACGATTTTAACAATTCAATATTCACAAATGTCTTTTAATGCATTTCTATGTCAACGGAAGTGTTGACTGGTGGGAAAAATTAAAGTACAAAGAAAATTGAACGTTATTATAAATACAAAATGTGACTTTATAAATTAATTAATTTAATACTTGGATTCTTGCAAAATAAATGTACACTTTTTGCCACCGAACGACACACACACACGCATTCACTAAACAAATACACACCGACATACCAGATACAACTCTACCATATTCAAGATGTCGGATACCATAAAATATCGATAGGTTGATAGACTCATTGACCACCATTTAGTGCTGTACAATGGTTTAAAATCGCAATGCAACACACTGCAACGCCCAAATAAATCGATATTTTTGATAAAGCAGCGCTGCTTCGATATTTTTTCATCACTATAGTGTGACCATTATTTCAGTTTCCTTTTCTTCGCAGCGTGCCGCGTGTAAGTTTTTCATAGAAAAAATTTTATCAAAATGTCGGATTCTGAAGAGGTTGATTTCGGCGGCGACTCGGGTGCATCTTCAACTTACCCGATGCAATGTTCAGCGCTGCGCAAAAACGGATATGTGATGCTTAAGGGACGCCCTTGCAAGATAGTGGATATGTCTACCTCCAAGACAGGCAAGCATGGCCACGCCAAAGTCCATCTTGTTGGCATCGACATATTTACACAGAAAAAGTACGAGGATATTTGTCCCTCCACCCACAATATGGATGTGCCGCATGTAAAACGAGAGGACTTCCAGCTCACCGATATTAGTGATGATGGCTACCTATGTCTGATGAACGACAACGGCGACTTACGCGAAGATCTCAAGATTCCCGACAGTGCATTGGGTACATCTTTGCGCGCCGATCACGTTGCCGGAAAGGAGCTTTTGTGCACCGTGATGAAAGCTTGTGGAGAGGAGTGCGTTATTGCCGTCAAAACCAATACTGCTTTGGATAAATAAGCTTATCAGGGTAGTTTCAACCTCTGACCTGATACTGGAAAAGTGTAATGATATAATGAAGTAATATCAATTAAAAGATTCAAAAATACAAACTGCTGAATTTTTTTTTTTATTTATATATGTATGTATTGAGCATTATTTCAGCTTGATGACATTTCAATTGCCATTTCGTTTAAGCATTAAAACGAACAACATTTAACATTAGTTAAATTGTTAAATTATTAACGTTAGTTTTTTTTTAAACCAAATACTGGCTTAAAAAATTCGCAAACACGTGGATCTTGCTAAATTTTTTTGGCGTTGGGCATTTAATATGATAATGAAAAGCGCTGAGGTTAGAGCGAGAACGCACAATATCCATAATGCAAATCAGAGAATATTTCGCACGCAGTACATGTACGTATGAATGTGTTTAGATTATTATACATATACATATGTACATGTACATATGTCCGTCCATGTACAATGTTTCGGTACAGCATTACGAATAAAACTAAATAAATCCTGATCACAGTAAAATATAAAATACTCATGCATGCTATTTTCTAAATTGGCCATACAGGTATATAGGTTCTAGATACCACAAATAATTCACTTGCTGAAATCATTTCTTTGTCATTTAAAATGACAAGTTTAAACCCTGGCAATTTTTTTTAAGACGGCCGATCTCCGTTATCCTTTAATAATGAATTTTCTAAACTGCGTTTATTTTAGTAGTGTCTGCTTTTTCGCCTTTCCCTTAGTATTTACACATTTAGAGGAACATTCGTCCATATTCGCATCGGTGTTAACTTTTTGGTTACCCCAATAAGAGACGGGCAAGCCTTGCCGCAGACTACACATCTGAAAATCAATAACTCCTATATTCTAAGGCTACAATTGGTAATGAGTCTCATTTAGATAACAAATTGTTAGCTTCGGCTTACTATAAAATAGTATAGTAAGTTTTAATATGATATTTGAACGTTTCGAGAGAGACTATATGAATATATTGATACTCGCATATCTTGCGCAGAAGAGTGTATTTGTTTCGATAACACAACAGGGCTGCCAACTGCCGCTATAAAAACTGCTAAATTCAACGTTAAGAATTGCTCGAAATGTTTGATTTAGCTATCTGACAACAAAGTACTTGATCTCTGAAAATAGTTAAATTCAACTAGATATTATCTGAATTGGCAACAATGCACCCAGATAAAAAGACATGCAACAAACGAAAATCTCTGGAAGTTTCAGTAACACCCTTGATACAAAAAAACCATGACTATCGATACATCACTTTAATGTCACCGTGACTATCGACAAGTTTCAATACGACCGTAAATTATGTATTCATATTAAGACGGCACCGTAGTACTTCTACAAACCTCCGTCAGTTCGTCAAAAATGTTCGCGTTACGTGCTGCCGCTAAAGCTGATAAAAATTTGCTGCCATTTTTGGGGCAATTGTGTAAGTATACATATGTATTTTTAGGAAAAAACAAATATTAAATATACAGGAAAAAAATATTTTCACGCATAAATTCGTTTTTTAACTTGGTCTTATAACCGGACGAAGTGGCTTGACGAAAAGCGAACATAACCTTATATGTGGTTGAAAAGAACTGATTGCATAATTTTGAAAATACAAAGTGTTTAACTTGACATAGTTATTATAAAGGTTAATTTGATATTTCGTATGCAATAGGTACTAAAAACGAAAGTGCGGAACTTTTTTTATATAAGTTATACATATTTTTAATGGCCAGCAGAAATATGTATATATGTATGTATGCACTTGCATATGTATCTTGAAACTTTCGGTGTTTTAATAAAAAAAACAAACAAAAAATTGAAGAGGGTTTTATCATATCGATCTCTTATTATTTCCTTGTGATATTTAAAATCTTTACTAAATTATCGTATGTGATATCATTGTGACGTAATATAGAAGTATGTATATGTGTATACATATGTATATATATATAAAGCTTGTATGAACGAAAAATATATATTATTGTTTGTAAACGTTCATGTAACCGTATGCATTAAAAAAGCCAAAACAATTTATAAACATACATACACATATATTTAAACGGATTCTGTTTGCAGCTCGCGGCCATGCTGCCAAGGCAGCTGCTAAGGCGGCCGCTGTAGCCAATGGCAAAATTGTGGCCGTAATTGGTGCCGTCGTTGACGTGCAATTTGATGATAACTTGCCGCCAATTCTGAATGCATTGGAGGTTGACAACCGTTCCCCACGTTTGGTACTAGAAGTAGCCCAACATTTGGGCGAAAACACCGTACGTACCATTGCTATGGACGGTACTGAGGGTTTGGTTCGTGGACAGAAGGTTCTCGATACTGGCTCCCCAATTCGTATTCCAGTCGGAGCGGAGACGTTGGGACGCATTATGAATGTCATTGGTGAGCATCAATTTATAAATAAATATATATATTAAAACTGTAAAGTTATATATACGAAATGTTTCCACGTTTTAAGGCGAACCAATCGATGAGCGTGGTCCAATTGCGTCTGATCATACCTCTCCTATTCATGCTGAAGCTCCTGAATTCGTGGACATGTCAGTCGAACAGGAAATTCTGGTTACTGGAATTAAAGTAGTCGACCTTCTAGCACCCTATTGTAAGGGTGGTAAAATCGGTCTGTTTGGCGGTGCTGGTGTCGGCAAAACTGTGCTCATTATGGAGCTCATCAACAACGTGGCCAAGGCACATGGTGGTTACTCTGTGTTTGCCGGTGTTGGCGAACGTACTCGTGAGGGCAATGATCTGTACAACGAGATGATTGAATCTGGTGTTATTTCGCTCAAGGATAAGACATCAAAGGTGGCTCTCGTGTACGGTCAAATGAATGAACCTCCAGGCGCTCGTGCTCGTGTTGCCTTGACTGGTCTCACCGTTGCCGAGTATTTCCGTGACCAGGAGGGACAGGATGTGCTGCTTTTCATTGACAACATTTTCCGTTTTACTCAGGCCGGTTCCGAAGTGTCAGCTCTTTTGGGTCGTATTCCATCAGCCGTCGGTTACCAGCCGACTTTGGCAACTGACATGGGTACTATGCAAGAACGTATTACCACAACCAAGAAGGGCTCTATCACTTCGGTGCAGGCTATTTATGTTCCAGCTGATGATTTGACCGATCCTGCTCCGGCCACAACTTTCGCCCATTTGGACGCCACCACTGTCTTGTCGCGTGCCATTGCCGAATTGGGTATCTACCCAGCTGTAGATCCTTTGGATTCCACTTCGCGTATTATGGATCCCAACATCATTGGCCAGGAACACTATAATGTCGCTCGCGGTGTGCAAAAAATCTTGCAAGATTATAAATCTCTCCAAGATATCATTGCCATCTTGGGTATGGATGAGTTGTCTGAGGAGGACAAACTGACAGTCGCGCGTGCACGTAAGATCCAGCGTTTCTTGTCACAGCCATTCCAAGTCGCTGAGGTCTTTACTGGACATGCCGGCAAACTGGTCCCATTGGAGCAAACAATTAAAGGCTTCTCACAGATTTTGGGTGGTGAATACGATCATCTGCCAGAGATTGCGTTTTACATGGTTGGGCCAATCGAAGAAGTTGTTGAAAAGGCCGACCGTCTAGCCAAGGAAGCAGCCTAAAATACATATTACAAAATGGTTTTTGCAAATTAATATTCAATTGTATTAAGCATAAAGATGTCAGAGACAGATGAAAAAATAAAACGTAATTAAACAACACGCGTCTTAAATATATTTTAATATCTGCAGGCAAGGACTACTTAACATCACGCGAAAATGGCTAGATCGATTCCCCCCAGTTTTTATCAAATCCATTCCTCCTTGGTATAAATAAAAGATAACTTAACTTTCAGCCAATTTGGAAATTGCATCTGCAACTGTGATGAATTGGCGGAAAACGATCGTATGAAAGTTTCTTGTTAACCACCCCATCGCCGTCAAAATCATTTTCAAAGATATTTATGAAAATTAATTTAAGATGTGTTTCACACTTTTCGCAAAATCTGCCCCTTTTGGATGATAAATGTGCAATTTTTGACAGATTTTCAAGATTTTAATAAAGCTCTTTACTTTTAAAATTAGAACTGCCCGTTTTATTGAATTCTACCCAAATGTGATTAGAAAAATCTTGGGATCAAGGTTATCTTATTTGTATTTTATTATTTTCCTAATCAGGTGCATTTTGTTAACTGAATTTGTGCAGCATTGCTGATTTAATTTCAATTCTCTGTGCAACTACAATTTTTAAAAATTTGTCCGTATTTATTAACGCATCGATCCCAAAACCAATAAGAGCTAAGGACTTGCAATTTTGAACGTTAGTCCTCCTAGTGTGTGTCCGATAATCAAAAACTTGCCTTGTTTCCAAGCAATCGATAAGAATCAATATCGAAGTTCTGTTTTTAAAACAAATCTCTTAGGCTATAATAACTAGAGTCAACAAACAAAAAAGTACACACAGATCAAGAATATTTCATTCTATAACTATCGCCTACTTCCTAATTGCTACAAATCAAAACATCCATTTAAGGAATCTTTTTTTCTTTTTCCAGTTATTTGAACTAGATATACAAAACTGTTTTGTTAAAATTAACTTTTTGTTAGTTATAAATATGATATAATACTGCTCTTGCATCTGGTCTCTGCAGTATAATAATAGCCAGGATCGTATTGAGTCAGTTCAGAAGCAATTTCTGCTTTTCGGCTTACGAGGTTTAAATTGGGACCCCAATCTTCGGTTGCCATCCTACTCCAGCAGGCTTCTTCTTCTTGATCTTCCATCGTTAACTAACCGCAGGACATTCTTGGGTGTTGTCTTCCTACATAAGTTGATGAAATCGTTGCTTTCAGGATACCTTCGGGAACTCACTAACCATTCCCAGCTATGAGTAGGGGCATAGCTTGCCGGACAGGCTATAAATTTCCCCCAACGGGTCGGAGATTTCCCATCACTATAACTTTATCCCATCTTCTTAACACTCTATATATCCAGTTATATATTAATAGATAAATGAATGATTAGCGCCTCCTCGGGTATGCCCAGCAGCACTTCCAGCTCTTCGGAATACGTTGATTTTGGAACGTCTCGATTACCTCCTCTACGAAGACAAATATGGATTTAGTATAGAAGTGCTGTTCAAACTGTGCCTTTACCGATAGACAGAGCCGGTTAAGCACGAGTTTGGGTTCTCCTCCGAATTGCACAATCGTTTCTAAAATCTTTTGCTTGAGCTCCTTACGGTTTTCGGGGGGCACTTCGTGCCAATACTTCATCAGCTTCGAGTGTAGTGCAGCGGGGCACCCCCAAAATATTGTACTTCTTGACTCTGAGCAGTAAAAATTTAATTTTTCAGGCGTTAAAGTGAAATCTCAATGCCACCCACCTTTCCCAGCTGCATAAGCTGCCAGCAGAATTGCCAGGCCTGTGGGCTGGCTTCAGCCTACGTCAGCCATTCGTGTGTGATTGTTTGTTCCTGCGATGTGGAACGGTAAAAAACAACCACGACTTCCTCCAGTCGCGCAATATCGATGGTTTCCAGATATCCATGCTCAACTCCTTCTAATTAGCTACCTAAATAGCCCAAGTCCCAGCAGTTTAAGCACGACCTTAGTTTATTTCATTCATCGAATTCATTCAAATCAACTCGTTCATAATTCAATTACAATCAGCTTCCGGGAGCAATACTTCATTCACATACATAATAAGCTGTTCATTTTTGCACAAATTGGTTACGGCTTTGAAGGCAAGCTCCTCCGACTCCGGATCGAAGCCATTAAGCCGGATCACCGTAGATATTCGCTGGTAACCATGCCATCGATGAGCCATCCAAAATATAGTCTTCTATTGAAACAGTTTTATGAGATATTTAAGTCCCCTCAGAGCTGTGGATTTAACTTCAGTGAATATGCCTCAATAACGAATTACGATGACAAATTGTGGTTGCCATGTGAGGATAATGATACGTTGGACTGGATTGCCACAAGTGTCCGCACTATGAACCTCTATAAATGTTTAAGTTTTATTAAGTATTACACACTGTTGAGATGCAGTATGGTGCTGCCGCAAGTTGTTTAAGGAGACGAATATTTTTCATCTGGCCTTGGCACAAATAAGTGGTGCTTATTGGTATTTTTGAGTACTCTCAGAGCTGTGGTCGTATAAACTTCAGTTCCCTGTTAAAAGGTAGGATTTTCAAGAAATTAACTTTTAAAAAATATCTATGGCAATTTTAATAGAAATTAGCAGTCACCGTTTTGGGGAAGAATTGTTCTTTGGAATAGACTTGAGTGTACGACTTCTCCTATCCACGCTTGATTGCTAGGAGTTCTATTTTATTGATCTGATTCGGATGTTGTCGAATGCAAAGAATCAGCCGAGTCGATTATATTCTCACAATACTGTGGCACCTGATCGATGGGCAATTTTCTAACATTTAACGGTTGGCTGAAGAAGTTGTTCTGTTTATCACCTTCGTTCTGACTATAGAACTGCAAGAAGCAGAAAAACTCGTTGCTCGTATGTACATACATATATAAGGAAATTAATATTATCGTCGCCAATTTCCTGATTAACGACCTTAAAGAGCTCATCAAAATTGTTCAATGTGCGATCGAGTGTTTGTGGTTATTGTTTATCTGCCGGTATGCCTACAAAGGACTCCAAATGAGTCTTTAAATCATAGACTGAGGTTGTTTTCTCTTTGTGAGGTGCCTAAAAGAGCAACGTTCAGTGTAAATTAACTTCATTTTTATACTCACCTTATCGTTTCCCTGATCCTTCGACTTTGTTCTCACAAACATTACAAAATCAGAGTAATTACATTTAATCCCGGCAAATGCTCAAACCTGAGAAGATTACGTCCTTTATAAAACACATGGAAGCATCCGTATATACATAAGGTTATATATACAAACTTAGATCTAAAGTTAAATTACAGGGTTGCCACTAAGGGTAAATGGCTTAAAGCAGCGTAAAGTGTTGGAAACGTGAACTAAAAACTAAAAATACTTTAACGGAATTCAAATGTGCTGTAAACAAACAAGTTGTTAGCAAATTGATAATTGAATGTAATAAATTAAAACGATGGCAGTGGCAGGTGGCAGCCTCTGCGCCTGCAGCAACAGCAAAGGAGCTAAAAGCCTGGGCAGAAATCCAAATAGGCAATGACATAACTAACATTGAGGCGGTGCGGGCGATACTCAAATAACCCTTCGAGCTTAACGTGATTACCAATTGGAATCATCAGGAGCCAATTTTCGACTACATCTTCAGCAAAATGGGATTTGATAGAGAAGAGACTATTGCGCATCCGATTGTTCTAACAGAAGCCTTAGCCAATCCAAATGAACGAACTGCTCTTCGAGTACTACGGAGTGCCTTCCATTTCCAGTCGCATCGAGAAACTGGTGGTTGACCATTGTCACATTGCACTGGAATACAAGGAATAGCTGCTCAAATGGGCTCAATTGCTTGATTGCTACGAGGCCAACATAATGAAAGTACAACTGCCTTACAACCAAGTGACGGCGACCAATGCTCTAATCACCGGTGAGCAAAGGCAGGACTGGCCTGACGAGCTGGCGCTGCAGCTGCTGGACATTAAAAATCGTCCCAAGCGTGAGAAGCTGCAAGAGGATGAAGAATACTTCCAGGTACTGCGCGAGGAGTTGCTGCAACTCAAGCAGGCTCGTCAGCAACAGCGTCAGGAGCAGGCCAAGCGGTACACGCACGCAGCCCAGGAGCGTATGCGCATCATCTCAACGCATTGCCAACGGCGACTGTGGCTTCGATGATGCCAACAATGCGGCCAAGCAGGCGCTCATTGCTGCCGAGAACTACCAGCTGCACTTTGGCGTGGAGGCCATGGCGTGCCTGACTGCGCGAAAGCTGTACCAGGAGTATGGCGGCGAATACTTCAGGGAGCACAGTGCGAGCAATCTCTATTATCCTACACCTAAAGATAAGACTTTATTGTAACGAATTTCAAATATTACTTCGTTACCAAATAACAGATTCCAAGACTTGGGTAGGATCAGTTTGAAGCCGCCGTCGCGTAACTGCAGAAAATCTTCACACAACTCGTTCAGCAGGCGCACAATCTGTGAGGTGTCTGTCGAGTTGTCGCCCTCGATGAGCCTGACCGGTACCTGCTTCTCCTCGAAAGCATTAAATAGCTGCAGCGCATTACCGCCGCCAAAGATGTGCTCGCCCGTGTGCTCCTTCCGCTTTACAAGCGACGCATTGCCCAGCTGGGTGGCGTGGGCTGCTTTAAAGTTGTCATTGGCGCGATAGGCCCAAGCCTACTCCTCGATAACACGTCGCTCAAAGCCAAAGCTGCCACTGAGAAGAATCACACGGCGAGCACAGTGCCAAGTAGTTTCTCGTTAAGGTACTCATACGGTCTCTCGGAGATCACGCTTGGGAATAGATTCGGCATAGCGGTTAATATCTCCAACATGTAGTCGTCCAACACATCATAACAATACATCTGCAGACGATTAGGCATTGGGAATAAGCTTAATTAATTAACAGGCTAAAAGTGTGTGCCTTACAAAATAATCGAAATTATCCTGACGATAGCAACGAAAACTTTCCACATCATCAGAGTTCCACTTGTCAATGGAGCACCATGCAGCATATACCAAAAAGGCATGCCCATGGAGCTGCATGATTCCTCCACAGGATATATTCGCGGCTTATCTGTGATTCTGATTTTTAAAGTAAAGTTAAAAATGTTATTTATTGTATTAAAGACACATTTCGAAATATATGATATTTGTAATAATTTTTATTAGGTATGTATTTGTAGTTAATAAATCATAAATATATAATAATGAATATTGATTTTTAAGAGTTATTACCGATATTTTTTAAATATGTATTTTTATATAGTATTTTGAGGACATCAACTACAGCAAGTTTGTAATTCGAATAGGCATTTGTAATTTGTGGTTTTCTGTTATTATTTTTAATTTTTAATTTTCGTTTTCGTTTCGTTTTGTTTTTGTTTTAGTTTTATTTTTGAGACACTTGGTAAACAATTTGTTACATTCGATCTCTTACTGTGCTTTGCTCTTTTTTTAACAACATTTCGATCGATTTATAAATTTGAGTTTATTTGTAATAATATTCGATCTTATAATACTATCATATTATAAGTATTTTTAGATAATTTAAGAAAACATGTTAAATACTAGAAAATTTGTAATAATCATTTTATTCCTGTTCCTTTTGGATTAATTGAACATGCATACACGACATTAACAGCAGTACATAACTTACTCTCTTGTTCTTTAAAGATTAAAATTTCTCCGTGATCCGTGATTATTGCATTTAGGTGTACCTTGCATTCAAATTAAGAAATTGTCGCCATATGGTATTCCAAAAATGTATGTACATATTTATATATGTAAGTATGCATGTATGTAATATGTATGTAATCATGTATTAAGGTAAATGTGACATATTTTATGCTCGTTTACTCATTTTTTATATCCTTGCGTAGCTGGGTTGATATAAATGATATGATAGTCATGTCAGTTTGTCTGCCAGTCTATCTGAAAAACTTTTCATAAATATGTTTTTTCTTCTTTTCTGCAAATCGGACCACTTTTATTATGCAGGTGATACAGGACAGGACAACTGTTTTACTTTGTATTTAACAATTTCTTAACTAAACTCACCGATAAGATATCCAATTACACATTTAAGAAAATGTTCTTTCAACTATATAGCATATAGCTCCCATAAGAATAATTATTGAAGAATTTAATTTTATATTTCAAGAGTCTTCGTTAAATCGGACTACTTTATCAAATGGCTCGCATAGGAAAAATCGGTGAAATCTCAAGGTATTATAATTTGGTTTTGTTGAAATATATTGCACCTCTGCTATGTGACTGCAAGGTTATAAAATCTTCGGAGATCCGACGATAGCTGCATTTTCTTATTTAATTTGCCTTTGTGTAACAGTATTTGTGCACAATTATTACAAATTCATTGAATTTGTCGTTAAAGATCGGAGTTTAGTTTGGATTATATAAATAAAATGTTCTTTTGGCGATTGACATTTTTTGTATTATAGTATAATTAACATATTATGCGTATATTCTGTATGGATTAATATAAACAATTTATTTTATGTCGAAATGTCTGTGAAGCATGTTTCGTAACATTTTTTGCCTTTTCGGGGATACATAGTACATGTTTTGCTGTTTTAATAATCTTAGTCTCTGTTAATTCACACAAACACACTTTTTTTAATGATACTATTATAAGAATTTAATAATCTTTCTATTCGATTTATTTGCAAACATCCAAGGAAAATTGATCATAACTGACTGATAACTAACGAATTTGAAATTGGAATTTATAGTTAAAGTAAGTTAAATTATGTAGACATATTGATCAAAAGTGTTCTATTCCAAAATTATGTACATTCATATTTAAATAAGATTTCTGGTTAAATAAGCAATCATTAAAACATCCATTACAAATTTTATATTATATATGTATATATGCATATATATACATATGCATACATACATATTTACAAAAGGCCCACATACATTACATGCACAAAAATATACAATTAGTTTTACACATATATGTATACATAGGTATATAGCTTAGCCTAGCACACTTGCTTCAGAAATCGACAAGTTTATGCACGTTACTAAAGAACTTCTTATTAAGGATCATAATGATCAATTTGATTTGATTTTCTAGTCAAAATGTTTTTAGTTGTTTTAGTTTAAAGTTGTTGTTTACTAGATTACTCGTATAAAATTCGAATAAATTATTTAAATACACATAAGAATTATTATCAGAATTGAAATAATAATGTTAGTAATTTGTATGACTCTTAGCTGCGTGTAGTTGTTGTCACTGCATTTGGTATTCACTTTATTTTACAATAACTTAAGTATCTGCATTAAGGATCTTAATTAGGATGAGTAGGAATTCAAGAGGCCAAGCGAAACTAACCGATTAGAGAAGGCTCGAACGTTAGCGGTTGGCCAGCAACGGTTCCTAATTCGATTCTTATTTTAGATTTGAATCCAATAATTCAGATACCAATAATTTGTAGCTCCATTTTTTTTTCTCATTTAACAACAATTAGCTAATAATTGTTATTATTGTATTTTTGGTTCGGTTGTAAGTTTTTTTTGGTGTAGTTAAATTTGTAAATGCTTAGTGTATATTTATTAACTAATGCTTTGCAATATTATAATAGTTTCCTAGCTTCGATATCTTTTATATTTTCACACTTGCAGTATCCCAAAATGAATGGTAATATATGGTAAGTTTTTTGGTATTCATTGAAAAGTACATAAACATATATGCACATAAACATATACATAAATGCACATACAATTATACATTCATTATACAATTACAATTGAATAATCTGCTTAAACTTTACATGAAGGTACGTACAATTATGTGAATAGTTTGCTAAAACTTAATATGCTGACGGTCGATGTGAGTGTGCTAATAGAGATCTTTTTTTAAACACAGCTTTTCTCTAGATACATTTATGTATTTATATCTGTTCGATAGCAAAGAAGAACTAACTATGTATATCTATATGTATATGTATATGTATATGTATATGTATGTGTGTATGGATGTAATACTACATGCCAGTAGTAGCATCCGGGTTTCCACTTCAAATTTATCGTATGGATTATGCATTTTGAATTTAAATATTTTGTTTTTTAAGTATCTTGAAAGGTTGTTATCCTTTCGATTCACGTGTTGATATCTGGGGACAATTTGTAATCCGTTTCCTTTGTTTTTTTATATTCTTGTTTTTTTTTTTTGGTTTACAATTAAAAATAGTCATAGCTTTTAGATCAAATTTTTGCGGATACTTTTTGAATATTTACTGGACACATCATTGTTATTACATTAATTTTGTATAATACATATTTATAGATATAACGCTTTTATAAAGCTTTTTACTCTTTCGTTTGCATATACAACATACATATGAATCAACAAAGAAATAAAATATATTGTAAATAATAAATAGGGCAAAGAAACACATTTTGAATATTTTTGTTGTTGTTTCCTATCTGTTCGATTCGCACAGCTTCACTGCTTAGAAGTGCACGCAAGTTGAGTTTAACAATTGTTGTTTCAGCTGTTTATTATAAAGATTCATACACATATATCATATTAGGCTATCGGAGCGAATTAATTATACTATCTTTTTATTTCTGCGGCGCGTGTGTGGACTCCGCCTACTTCTGTGGCATAAAATCGAAAGTCGTTGCCCCACTGATCTTGCCAGATGCACTTCGATGGAAGTGAACGTTTTGCCATTTGTTGTCGCGTCTGTGCCATACGCGTGTCTCTTCCGATTGATGAGTGTGTGCGTGTCCTTGCCTAGTAACATTTCGAAAAGCGGTATTAAAATACAAATAAGACAGCATTATATTATAAGCATAGTTGACCACTATTCCAGAAAAGGGAGTGTGCTCTAGTCGGCCCAGTGTCGAAACATCTTGATAAACATTCTCGTTTCCTTCTGTGTTTCGTCTTCGCTCAGCATTCTTTAATAGCTTCGGTGCTTAAAGTCCGATCTTTATGAAATTTAATGGCTCCCAAAAGTTTAAGGGACTCTAAGGACTCAAAAACTTTTGTTTGTTTAATTTTGAGGGATAATGTGGGGAGGCTTTCAAAAAGCTCAAATAGTTTTCATCGGTGTACACTAAACGAGCTTGGTTATGCCTAACAAATATGAGACAAGATCTCGACAAAAGGTGATAAGCTAGTTCTGTATATGGTTAACGCGAGTGCATATTTTAAATTTCGAGTCTCTAGCTCTAGTTTCCAAATAATTAATGCCTAGATCTAGACCTAGAGCCTTGCCACACTACCTAAACGAGTGCAAATGAATCCCACTAGATCGATTGCATATTCCGGCTGACTCAAACTTAGACTTAGAATTAAAAAACGAACGTGATTCAACTTACTTGTCAATGTATTGTGTAAGTCTTACATAGGCGATACAAGCGGCTTCTTCTCCCAGTAAGTGCACGTGGGGATTCAATATTGTGGTGTTAATGGCTTTGCAATTTTTTCCAAGTACTGTATTCAAATTAAAGAAACGCGTACATTAAATTCTAGAATTAGTTTTAGACTTTAGCCTTAGACTTTGGCCCATTTAGACAGCTCATTTGCCGATTCGATTCATTTATTCGTTGACATATTTACCATTTTCGAAATAAAATTTGTGAAAATCAATTCCTTCGACCAAGTTTCCCAATGCTTCCGGCTCAAAAGCAGTTAGATGCGGATCACATATTTTACTGAAGCCAAAGGATTAACAATAAATCAGCTTAAACAGTTGGCTTATATTGGGAAAGATTAACTCACGTATATCCGTCAAAGTCGCCGCTGTTGATGGCTTCAATCAACTGCTCTGTGATCTTTATAATTTCCTGTCGTCTGGCTGCTTTTTATATTTCGTATTTGTTTCCGAACATTATTTGTAATAAGTTAAATTAAAGCAGATCAGTGAACCAAATCAGATTATAGTGTATTATATATAGTGTATTTCATTAAAAGTCAGAGACTACAACCACGGATGAATTTCGATTATGAACGATAGTAGTAGGATGAGAATTACAATTGAACAATCCAACCAACCAACGTACTAAGAAAATCAAAAACCATTAACTAAATGTATGTGTGATGGTATTTTGGTAAACTCTTCAAAAATAAAGTATGGCGATATGTCAATCGTATACGATATACCGTATGTTTGTTATATACATCTTAAGTTTATTTTTATACCCAATTAGAGGGTATTATAATTTTCTCATGAGACATCTTCGACTCCATCCCTATATCATATAGCTGGCATATGAATACCATAAAAAGAATGTTCTTGCCTCTGCTCCCTGCATATGCGCGAGATCCTGTCCACATCGGACCACTATAAATTAACTTCTTGAATGAACAACTTTTTGGATTATCAAGATATCTTAGCTAATATCTTTAACTTCACTTGCAGCACGCAAATATCGAGTTTTCTATTCAACTTAATAGGCTTTTTAATTAGAAATGATTAAATTATTTCTTCATAAAACAAAGTTTAATAAAATATTTGTTTATATTATTGGCAAAATTGTTTTATTTGCCTACAAGGGCTGCAAACTCGGGTTTTTCACGTCCAAAAACCCAAGTTCTGCAAGTAATAATTGAAGAATTATTGTTATAAAATTGATTTCCCTCAGAGGT